CCCCAAAACCCCAAAACCCCAAAACCCCAAAACCCCTTTTGAGATTTTTGTTGTTGAACAAGGGATTAATCTTTGTAGAGTTCACGCTCTCTTTTTGACACTACTTCGAATGCCTTTTTATTTGCCTCAGTAGCTCCCAAGTACATCAGTACTTTTTTGAAGAGGCAAGTGTCAATGTACCAGAATCCTTGCAAAACTCCAGCAATCATAATCCTAACTTTAGAGGTGATTTCAGTATCGCTGAAATTTCCAAGAGATCTCAGTGCATTTTTAACGCAGAGTTCAGGTCCGATAGTGACATTATCTTTTCTGAATCCAGTCATATAGGTTGAGACAAACCCAGGGCAGACGTTAAGTGTGTCAAGCTTGGGGCTCTTCTCGCTTGTCAAAGACTTCATGAAATAACTAGCAAAGCCCTTGGTGGCTGAATACAAGAAGAAGCTTGGGACTGGGTAAAACGATGAAGAACTGGCCATAGTTATAATAGCACTATGCTTCTCTTTGTCAACTCTTGAAAGTAGTCTTTCATAGAATAGGGAAGTGAAAGTAACCACAGAAGCAACGTTTAGATCCAGGATTGTGTTCACAAGTGCCGGGCTAGCCTCATTAAAAGGGAGACAACTTCCAACTCCAACATTATTAACTAGTATTGAAGTGTCAAGACCTTCGAGGGATTTTAGAAGATCATCATATTCACTGATGGCTCTATACTTTGTAATATCAGCTTGAATAGTGATAACTTCAACTGATGAATTGTTAGTAATATCTTCTTTTGCTTTGTCCAATGCTTCTTGGTTCAAATCAATGATCACAAGGTTGAAGTTCATTTTAGCAAGTTGAGTTGCATATTCCAAGCCAATTCCATTGGCTCCACCAGTGATGAGTGCATAGGTCCCTTCGCCATATCTTTGACTCAGATCTAATTGTTTTGTCAAATAGTACTCTTTGACAGTTCTGTACAGAAAGGATATATTTCCTATCATCCTGATTGCTCCAATGTAGAAGACTACAGTCCAGAATGAGCAGCAGAAAAATAGAGGAATTAGGATTCCAAGCGCAATGCCTGCATTTAGCATTAGCTCCTTCTGTGTTAAAGATTCAGTTTCGGCCATTTCTCTAATATTCAATATGTAATACAAGAAAGGGGTTTTGGGGTTTTGGGGTTTTGGGGGTTTGGGG